GCAAATACCCGATTACTTTGGGATAATTTTTTTTAAATTCAAATTAAATAGGTCATTAATAAATTCCGATTATTTTAAGACAATTTCTTCAAATAAAAATTAAAAAAAAAGTCATTAATAACTCCCGATTACTTTGGAATCATTTCTTGAAATGGAAATTAAAACTCAATTAGTCTAAATTGCTTTAGGATCATCTATTGAAACATAGATTAAACGATCTGTAAATTAAATAATCCATGATGAATAAAATCCTATTAATTTGTTCAAACCTGCAATACAGTATCAACGTACGCGAAAACTGATTTAGTATAAATAATGAGATGATAAGTATTTACGTAAAATAAAAGTAAAAAAAATTAGTAATTGTAACGGCTTACAGACATGTGCATGAATATCTGATCTGATATTACAACGGTATAAATACAAACATTCTATGTCAGACATTTTCATGAATTCAAAACCATAGGAGGATCTAAAAATTCATTTCCCACACCTTTAAACCACAAACCCTAGATCTATAAAACCCAAATCTCTTAACAGTTTTAGCCATTGTGGTTTTAATGTTTTGAAAGTTGCATTTTTATTTTTTCCTTCACAAGAAGGCCTGTCATGGCCTGGTGGTTAGGGCACTCACCTCGTAATCTGAGGGTCGCGGGTTCGAATTCCTGTCCCACCAAACATGCTCTCCCTTTCAGCCTTGGGGGCGTTATAATGTGAGGGTCAATCACATTATTCTTCGGTAAAAGAGCAGCCCAAAAGTTGGCGGTGGATGGTGATGACTAACTGCCTTTCCTTTAGCCTTAAATGCTAAATTAGGGACGGCAAGCGCAGATAGCCCTCGTGTAGCTTTTCGCGAAATTCAAAACAAACCAAATCTTCACAATAATTATTCACATGCGCGGTGTCAAATTCTCACTCTCTTCTTGTTCCTACATTTCACTTGATCTCAGGTTTAGAGTCACGGATCTTTTAAAGACTCCTAGTTAAAGAATTCTGTTGGGTAAAAGTTAAGTTTTTCTTATAGTAATAGAGGTAAAAATACAAATATATGAATATATTCAGTCAGTGGAACTGCACGTACCTTAAACATACTTTTTGTTTGTTATTCTACAAGACATATTCACATCAACGGAGCCGACCCTCATATCTGTTTAAGTGCAAAGTTACACAATAGATTATTTGAGTTGTGGCTCCGCGGGGATCGGACCATAAATGTTAGCATAATAAGCTGTCCAGTTTACCTCTCTGGCCCTAGGGGCATGGACTTTTTCAAGAATCCATAATGCCTGTGCTACGGAACCTTCAACAGACTATGTGGAATGCGGAAATGAAGATTAATAAGGAATTAGCATTATTGTCAATGTAAAGTTTTTTTGAACTAAAGAGCAAAACCTAAAATGCTCTTGAAATAAAACTACTAGAATTATAGGGTTTGGAGTTTTGTGATGTGAAATCCCAGGGTTTTAGTTTCGAGACGCCCAATTAGAAGTAGTTATGTAGATAATTTGGAATATCTTTTCATTCTATGGAAAATGGATCATTTTTTTCATTTCCTACATATTTCAGTGAACTCGTACTTTTCATAGACGACTACTCTTCAAATGTAAAAACATTTGATAATTATAAATATGTCTTATTTATTTTGTGAAAATTGTGTAAAAAAACATAAAATTTTCTTAATGATGTCTGAAATATTAATTTAACTACCCTAGTTTTACGTTCCTAATGGTATTGTACTAAGTACTGCTGCCTATCGACGCCACCTAGCGGAACATCCTCAATTGGAACGAGCTCTAAACACTGTCCGAAAAGCTGCCAGGTAACATATATTTGTCTATCGTTTTATTTGTCCTTCTATCTATCTATTTGTATTGGTATATTTAACTATCATTTTAATTCAGCTATTACCTATTTATAAATGAATTTACATACATTTCAACTATATTTAAGATGTTTCATTTTATATTTTAGTTATAAACTGTTTCTGGGTGACGTTTTCATTTAAAACTTTATATGTTATTTTCACTGCAGAAAGATTTAGTTTTACAAACGAATCTTTTAAATATATTTAAAATACTTTCTTTGATCAAATATTCTCATAGTCTAAAAAGATAAAATAGACTTGAAATGCTTTGTTTTATTTACTAATAATGTTTAGAAATGAGTTGTTTTTAAAATAATCGAAGAAAATGCTGTAACGAACATGTTCAATTAGACTCATTCTCGAAATCGAAATTTTGCTAAACTGTGTACTATTTTTAACCTGACTAAACGGTCATGTCAGAGGCAGAAAGATACACACATAGAGTCATCTCTAATTTAGAATTGCTGACCGAAGGAGAGCGATCAGCCAGAAGCACTTGCCGCCGACTATGGCTACTCTTAATCGAGTAGGCTAAAAAAAATCCATCACAGCTGAAAGTACGTGTGTCTCCAGTGACATATTATGGCTCAAATCATGAATATTTCCTTCAGCTAGATTTCAAAATAAACCTAGGCCGGACGTGGCCTAATATTTAGTATGTGAGACTTCTGGCCGAAGGTGCAACGTTCGCATCCCGTCGACGCACAAAAAATGTACGTGGGTGTGTCATAAGAGTGGCTGTAAAATACCCTTATTCGATTCGAGTAGCCCAAGAATTTGAGGTATTATTGACTAGCTACCCTTCTTCTAGCTCATCAGTGCAAAACTATTGATAGCTAGTGCAGATAGGTCCTGTATAACTTGATTCCAAAACAAACAAACCAAAATGCCCCTACATCATAAGCGAATATAATTAGCACTTAGAAAAATCAAGTGAAAATGCTCAGAGTGAACTACAATATCCTACTATATCAACAAACAGCCATTCCTACTGAAACAAATGACATCTATCTAATAATTATGACAAGCATGAGGTTGTCTTGCTATTGATATGATGTCAAATTCGATGAGTAAGCTTGTAATTAAGCATCATATATATAGGGTGAGTCGAGAGAGTAATGGGTGAAAAAAAAATTCCAAAATTAGTATACGAAATGTCACAGAACCTTTTCGAAGCCATTCGTGTTCATACCTGTATAATGGACAAGGGGCAATTTTGGGATAAGGAGAGTGTATACAAAGGCTCAGGGGGACTCTACTTACTACCAATGTTCTGGAACCTTTGTACCACCCAGAAATACTGGTTTTGCACGTAAACGAGGCTAACAGCGTGTGGATTCACCAAGGTTTCCAGTCATACTTTCCATTGAACTTTTTCGTACCTCAGGCAGATGGAAAATGGGTATTCAAGGTATTCCATATGAATACATGCAAGTCAATTCGTTAGACACAGCGCTTATGGGTTTCTGTGCTAGTGGACTGTTGAAACGGTCGCTAGAAGACCGTCTTCCTCGCACACTAGATGGATTATGGAAGCGAGCAGGAAGAAGCGGTGTGCTTTGGACATGGCAACTTTACGAAGGAGTGTTGTGCAATACAAGCTATACTGCATGTCTATTATCAATTTGCACGATCGTAAGATAGAGTACGATCGAACGGGGACATGAACGTCAGAGACGTGATAAAGCTACAGAATACACCGTTTCAGTATAACGTATTCAACCTTTGTACATACTATGGGAGATAACGTAACGTCGTGGGAAACGTTGTAATGGCAGAAATTGTGAATTTTAATTCTTTTATAAAGCCAAATAACATTCAGAGTGTACAGGATATTATTGTCTATCAATCCACCCGAAAATGATATTAACATGTTCTTCCAAGACAAGCTATTGTACTCCTATTGTCAAAAGTTAGTTTGAGGACTGTCTGTGATTTCTCTGATCTTTCTTGGTCAACTGAATATCCTGATCTCAGTCTGATTGTGAAAATTTCAAATTAAATTGAACTCTGCGATCGCCACCATAATTTTCTGTTGACCGCTGTAAACCACTTGCAACACACATTACTCTAAAGATATGTACAACTGAACAAGGTAACTTCTGGCATCTTGAGGAGTATGTGTTATTGAATTCTACATTATTATATTGGCGAAAGGTGGTCGAAACCGATATTATATGTATTGTAGGTCCTAATAACGTTTCCAGTTAGAGTATATTGAATCTAAACCGAAATATAATGCAAAAGAAATCAATTTTACTAAAGTTGGGGGTTTGGGGGCACCACAGTATATTAATATAACTTTCCACGTAGCCTCATGTTTGATAAAGTCAATACACGAAGAGTAAATGTGCAATATCAAAAGTCAATACATGGAGATAAATGTGCAATATCAAAAGTCAATACACGGAGATAAATGTGCAATATCAAAAGTCAATACACGGAGATAAATGTGCAATATCAAAAGTTAATACACGGAGATAAATGTGCAATTATTTCATAACTATATCTTCTTGATTCTTCTATAAGTCTTGTTTTATCACTTTATTTATTTCTGATTTTAGCCTCCAAAGCACTGAAAGCCTGAAGAAAGCCTGTTCTAGGTAAGAGAATATCTAAACAATGGAAATGTTACTACCGCACCAAAATAGTTCTTCTTTAAACATGCTCATTTCGATTCCATAATAACTGGCTGCGAAGTTTAAGAAAGTTAATTTAATGATATGTGTATGTACAGCGCTTTATTGTAATGTTCTTACTTTATATAAATCGTACTGAGAACAGATTAAGTGTGTAATTTTTGCGTTTAGATAATTGGCTCATAGAAGGAAAACAGAATGGATCATAAACTTATTGTTCGTTTATGTTTTACAGAGTAAAATTTGGTTCATCACGAGTGACGGATAACATCACTCAGTAGTTTGAATAATGGTTTTTGTTCCTTTTTTACAGAGCTTTTGAGGAATTTTCACAAACTTCATTGAGTGAAGAACTGAAAGATGAAGTTGCTAGTATGTTAAAGAAAGTTTTCTCGCAAGATGTCAGTGAATTGCGATTTGCTGTACGTTCATCGGCTGTAGGTAGGGATTTTTTGTTTTATTATTGGCTATTTAATACCCAGTCTGCGAGTCAGGGAGACACATTTGGTAGGTTGATTCCCAAACAAAGCTTTCCGTTACTCTCTTTGTCTCTAATTTTGAATGAAGTTTTGGATTCTTTGCAAATATTTAGAATTTTACAGGATTATAATGGAATAAAACTGATATGACCATACAAAATACTGCGCAAAACACAGCAGTGGTCGCACATGTTGCGCCATACAACACCAGGTTCGTCAGCTCTATAAAGCTGTTTTCTCCGCGGTTTTCGTGAGTTCTGTCGATATAAATGGTTTAAGAAAACTTCACGTAGCTTATTTGCTGCTCTAAGGTGAATAAAAGTAATACCTGCCTAAACATGAATACTTCCACTATTTTGTGCAAGAAGAACACAGTTCGGCCACATAGCTTCGTGACCAAACATTATTCAGGAGTGAGCTCTGCCAAAAGTGTAGCTTTTGAGGTTAACAGATCGAGCCCTTTATTGGAGCAATTTTTTTTACTCTACCTTAAATATCGGAAGCTGTGACACCCCCTCTTTAGCCCACCCAATCCTTCCAAATTCATTCTCACTGACTCGCAAACTGAGTGTTAAATACCTAAAAACCCGAACACGATACACGTGTTTAAAACCTAAATCTGCATTATTACAAAATGATTCCTTATTCTACATTATATTCTCGTAACAAGTTATTGTAAATGTAAACATTTCTGTCTATAATATAACGTACGGAAGAATCGAGTTCATCACTGAGACATGTTTTCCTTTATCTCAACTAGGAGAAGATAGTTCTGATACTTCTGCAGCAGGACAGATGGAAACCACATTGGGAGTAAAAGGACTTGCTGAAGTAAGAAGATATCATTGCATTAACCCTTGTTAGCACATTTAGTATTACCTGTTGAGATGGTTCTTTAGCTTTGAATTCATTGCATTATATGTAATATCTTCTCACTTATCATCAATTAGAGGAATTACATTAACCTAGTGTTTGTTATGCCTAGTTTATTCATTCTAATAGTAGTTCACCAAAAGTAAGAGCCGAGGTTGGGTTTGATTGCTCTTACATATCAAGTGAAAGTGCACACCAGAACGATCATTACGAGTGAAATAAATATGTAAAAAGAAACGAAGAAAAAATGTTGTTTAAACGAATAATAGTTATGGTTATAACAAGCACGTTCTACTTTACATAACTTAAGACGTGATTATAAACAAACCCAAATCTAAACAAAATTTAAAAAATTACGAAGCACTGTGCTAAGAACAAATATGGACTAGGCTTTATGCAATGTAATGACAATAGTCCTTCCATGCCTAGGATCCACTATTGTTAAGTACAACTTATCTTAAGATAATGTAATATAAGCTTTTTGACAGATTGTTCATGTTACAAGGTTCAAAGGTAGTTTAAGAATGTTAGTTGTTACGTATTACAATTTCGAAAGGTCTGAAACCGAACTAAATTGTAATTTAGATTTAGTAGTTAAATATTTGCCAATATATCTCCAATTTATGATATTTGCCAACAAGATTGATACACACAGTTTCTTTTTTAATACAAATGTTTTAACATATCGACAACGATACAATTTATGATTACAGTTATTACAAATAGTTATTACAAACAATGATTCATATACAAGTCTTCTTTCTAGTCTGGAACTTCCTTGATGTCTTATCGAGAGTTCACGATGAGCGAGTTAAGTTTGAGTTGATGTAGATACAATTCAATTAACAGGGAGCTAGCTTGCCCTGTGAAATTCACTGAGCACACGCTGATTTTTCCTACCGGTGACGTTAGGTAATGTTTTCGTAAAAGTACTAATGTC